GGAAGTCTGCCTCCAAAGTCTGGGGTTGGACACCTAAACAGACAGGAGTCCACTCTGAAGTTTCTCTCTTAGCTTGGAGAAGCCGGGTCTCCTGCGGGGCTCCCGTTCCCAGCAGAGCCTCATCAGGAGGTACAGGCGGGGGGGGCAGTCCTCTGGAGCCTCCATGCGATAGCCGGCCTCCACTTTCTCCTTCACTTCCTGCAGAGACTGACCCACAAGAGCAGCCTGGTCATCTGGACATTCACAGCTTTTTCAGTAAGTTAAAGGATTTTTTGTGTGTTTAATTTCAGTTGTTAAATATCAAATTTCAATACTTCTAAATATAAGCTGCAAAAACTGGATATGGCTGAAACGCATTTTGACATTCATTACTTAAAAAACATGACATTGCTCAATATCATGTTCTGTTTAGAAGGTTGATGTTCTACTTGAACAACATTAAATACTTAGAGGCCCTGAAACACGTCCTACTGAGTCATGCCTGTGTGTTTCATACTGCCGTTATCACCAAAAGGGGCAAAATCCTGAACCACAAATGAGGAATTTGTTGAGGTTCAGTCTTAGTAAATCAGCTGACCTGTCACAAGTAAAGAAAAAAAAAAAAACAAGCATAAAAATACCTCTTTAAGAGTGTTCATCTCTGATTCACTGATGATCAGTACACAACTGTGGACGTCGTGGAAACAGTAGCACACAACAGGGGACTTCTCAGCTTTGCCCATTATTTAGATAACAGTAAAAATCACTAATGATTAATCACCCTCACACTCCCACGTAGAGTCAAGCTTCCATCTCATCAGAAACCTCCCCTTATAAATACATCTATTACTACTACTTTTTTACTACCGTAAACTATAAGAAATGCTTTCTGCTGTCATAAGATTCATATTGTAGTAATGTTTCCAGAAAGTGTGCATGCTGTGATTGTTCTGATAAAAACAAAGCCCTGTTCGATTCAATTCTCAATGAACGATCTTTCTAAAAACGGAAGGTGTAGAAGCTAAGAACACATGCTAGCAGAGGCATGTTGGTGCGTGTATGATGCTTTAAGAGGGAATTCTGCATTTGAATGCAGCACGTGAAGACGACATGAGATTTTCTTTACTGGTTTGAATAGTGACACTGTTTTCAAAGCATAGTCATTCAATAATGCACCAAACAGAATGTCTATTTATAAAAAGCTGCTGATATCTATGACATAAAAATGTTTACAAGGACTACAAAGCTCTGAGGTTAAAACGTAACCATTTATATTGTCCGAACACTAAAGGAGATCTGAAAAGCTGAGCACTTCCACAATGTAATGCTCAAAATTAAATGAATTTAAAAAAGAGGGCCAAACTGCTCATTTTGTAAATATGAATAAAGAAGGAACTTGGCTTGCTTAACTTCTGAGAGCCATTGGATTTCATCTTCTACGTACAAACAAGTGAAGAGTTCATTCTGAGCCCTGTCCAGGAGACTTTTAAAGAGCATTTATTGCTCAGGAATTACTCTGATCAGATAAAGTGAACGCAGGGTTCATCAATTTAAAATGTGAATTTAACATCTGCTCAGTCTGGATGACCAGAGGTAAGAAGTAATGTCCTGGCTCAGAAGAGTTCAGCTAAAAATGAGCTAGCACTGACACTCATGTGGAGGCTAGCATGAGTTCCTGGAGGCCTCAGAACACAACACCTGTTTCTTTCCGGGCTCTGGTTGCTGGTTCGGACGTTATTTAACATCCAGTGAGGATTTTGTCTAACATTTCAGATGTCTTATGCTAATCTGAGATCAGGAGTTGCTGGCTGTATGCAGCAGATGCTACGTACCATCTTAGAATAAGGCTGCCGCCCGTATGAGAAGATCTCCCACAGAAGAACCCCATAACTCCAAACGTCTGACTTTGTGGAGCATTTCTACAAAACAGCAAACACATATCATTCATGCATATATATACAAAAATATTTCTGTGAGTTTAAAGAGTTTGAATAATCAGAGATGACCTGAACAAATGCTTTGGTAAAAAACAACGTTAACGTTGTCCTATGGCCCTTTGGAGTTCAAAACAAGATACTGCATCAGTTTTCTGTGCTCCAGTGACAGAGCAGGCCCTGAAACCCAGCAGTTTCCTTTTAAGATGATATGTGTAAATATGTAGAAGCAGGGATGTGAAAACCAAATTAAGAGAAAAGGGACACTGAAATTGATGCTGAAAAAAATCGCAACAGAAACAAGATGATAAAGGTAAAGAAATCTAAACGTTATCAAAGAGTTTTAGTTAGCTGTGAAACTACTGATCCAGTGAACTATTAGTGGAGAAATGGTAAAGTTTATATAACCAGCCATGACAGCCCTTGTCATAAAGTTACAAATACAAAATACTGAATCATGACCAAACTTTTTTGTGCCTTTGGTTTATATTATCAAGTGTAATAAGAGCTTCAATTCATTCCCTTTTCTCTAATTACATCTTGGTTTTCCTGTGTGGTGCTTCTGTATCCTTCCAATTCTGTGGTTGATATTAACCACATCTTTATGTTCTACATTCCGTATTTCAATAAACCCTTATCTTAGTTTTCTGTCCCTTTGTCCCAACTGTAACACAGTCCTCCATCCACAAGTCCTCCATTGCTGCCATTGAGGGCACACTATGTTAAGTAAGAGGATGAGCTCTGAATGAGCCGTAAATACATTAATAACACCTGTATATTTGACCACTATTTCATCTTAATCTTGATGAAAAAAAACTAGAGATTGCATAAAAAAAAGCAGGTAAAGTGTGTTAAACGTGCCTCCTTCTTCAGAGCTTCGGGCGCGGTCCATTTGACCGGGAGCTTGGCCTTGTCGGGCTCCTTCCAGTCCACCTTGGTCAGGCCGAAGTCGCTGACCTTGGCCACGCATTCATCGGAGACCAACACATTTCGAGCAGCCAAATCTCTGTGAACCAGCTTCTTCGACTCCAGATACTCCATCCCCTCGCACACATCACTGAGCACAGACATGCACACCGGTACAGCAGCAGAAGGCCTCAGACTGCCCTCCCTGCTGTCCACCCACCACCGGACAGATTCTCCAAACCAAACCTCAGACTCACAGAGCGAAGCGCAGCAGTTGAGTAAAGCTTACGACCGAGCGTCCTCTTGTCCTGAGGAAGTTCACCAGGCTTCCCTGCAGCACACAAACAGTGCGTTCAAAACAGGGGTCAGAATAGATCTCAAAAGGTCACAAAATGAGGCTAAAAACGAAGCCTCGGTTTGAAATGAGAAGGAATGACTACGGCTTTAGTCCAAACTCTTGTCCCAGCATACAGTAACCAGCACTGTGCTGTGCTCCATGTCCTGATACATTATACACAATCTGCTCACTGAGCCTTCTACTCATTATATTTTACTTTTACTTTAACCTATACTGTTTTTGATACATTTTCATATAGCATATTGTTGACTTTTACGTCATTGTGTTGTGACTATGCCACTCTATGTAAAGCTACAATACAATTTCACAGCTTGGGATAAATTTAGTATATCTATCTATCGTTAGATAAAGCTGTCTGTTCTGTATCTACTCTTTTTTTTATTTTAAATCCACTCCTGAGTGTACCTTAGTCATGAGCTCTGTGACAATGTGAAGCCCTTTGTTAAGGATGACCCCCAACAGCCGCACCAGGTTTTTATGCTGCAACTTCCTGTGACGAGACCAACCCAGAGCCCAGGACAAGATGAGACGGTCTGCAGACGTATTGGCTGATGGCGCTGTGAGGCGGTTCAGACGTGGTCACTCACGTCATCACTGCGGTCTCCTGCAGGAAGGCCTGAGCCGTCACGTCGCATTTGATGATCTTCACTGCCACCCTCTGGCCCATGTAGCGCCCCTCATAGACAGCTGGGGTTTCAGAGCAAATGGGAAACAAAAAAATTATACAATGACACACTCTTTTTTTTTACGTTTTCACCACATTCTAAGTTTTCCAGGCCAAGGACCCCCAAATTGGTGGAGCGGGGACCCCCCTAATAATACATATTGTCTGAGATTGTGTCTATGTATAAAATACCTCCATATAATCACTTCGGCTTTTACAAAATAAATCTAACAGAATAAGCAACAGCTCTTGGTTTTATTCGGGCTGTGACTTGAGAGCTTTCATCAGAAAAGTCAAGATATGATTCATTTCCAAGCTTTACTCAAATCCCTGAAGCTGTGACACTTTAAAGGGGAAGTCACTTGGATTTTTTCCTTTTAACTCTTGCACTCATCTTTTAGTGTAAAAGATGAAAAAGCAGCTCTTTATTTAGAGTACCGAGGAAATGTGTCATCCTGAACATTGCCTTTTAGGGACTGGGCCACCTTTAGGTTATGGAGCTTTCAACACAAACAGAAATGACCATAGCTGAATGAGCATTTTAAAAAAGGAATAGAAAAGGAACAAAGCTCACTGCCAAACTCTCCTTCTCCAATATTTTCTCCCAGCGTGAGCTTTTCAGTGTCCATCAGCCAGCCAGCTGGAGGAAAAGAGAAAACGATGACTATTTCTAAGATGTTTTTACTCCAACATAATCCTTTTCTGTCCCTTGAACAACTTTCACTGTGACTAGACCCCAGCGTGGTCCAGGGAGGAGCCACCTGACGTGCGTACCTTTAGACAGCTCCAGCTCGGCTGACTTTGCTCCTTGTTTCTGTTTGGGCTTCGTAAGTGTTGTCGCTATGGAGCTTTTGTTCTTTGAGTAGAACTGCAAAGCAGAGAACACAACTGTGAGCGTCTCACAGCATTTCACAGATGTAGTTTTTAGTAGTTATCGGGTTGAAATGATTAAAAAGATCAAGATTGTAGTTTGACAAACTACAAATTATACTAAACAATAATAATATAATAACCTATCATTATCCATCTACATATCTATGAAAAATAACAATACATCATGAGAAGGGATACTCCTCAAAATGAGTTTTGCATCCTTGTTTTCTAACAAAAGAACAAGCCTATATTTATCATTTCATTGCGAGTTATCTTGTTTTTTTTTCTTCCTCAGTTTCCTCACAGGACTTCAAGTCAGCTGGAACTAAATGACTCATCTACTGAAGCTGTATGCAGCTCACTGATAAGAAGCGGCTGCCATCTGTGTTGAAACTATCTGCAAGCATCAGCACACATACTTCCCTAAAGGCCCCTCCATTCGCACAAGCTAACAACAGATAAACCATAAAAGGGAGCATTTCATGGATTTCCCTGTCTCTGCTTCTAACAGACTTCTTTCATTAGCTCGGCTGTTGAATTCTCAGGCTGACAAACACCTTTACAGTAAACAGGACATGAACCTTTAGATGGTAACAAACCAGGCAGGAATCTAACCATTAACCGACTAGCCCCCGAAATCTAATCAACTCTCTAACCATTAGTGTCAGAGAAAGTCTATAGGAGCAAGTAGACCCAAGTCTGAATAGTCATTCTAGTCCTAAGCATGCACTTTTTACTCCTATCCTAACTATTTACAGGTGAGAGTGGAGTGGAAGAGAGAGAACTCATAAGGGGAAGGAAGTGAAGAAGTGGATTGACTGTTAAAAAATATTCCAAAGGGATGGTCTCCTGCATGAAGGCTCACAGATTAGCCCAGACCTAACCTAACCCTTTGCAGTATTTCTGCCATGTTCCAGATTGATTGGATGTAAAAGCAAAATGTAAAAAGGGGACCCTAAACCTAACTCCATCAGTTCATTTGAGTCCCAAATGAAGCTGCTACTTGTATACAGCAGAGTGAGGAAGCCCTAGTAGCTGCTCAGTCTTTGGGCCTTTAATATGTACTAGCGTACTTTCTTAATACCCAATATTGCTAAACTTTATAATGATAGAATCACCCCCCCACACAGATACAATCTCTCAGACTTGTTCCCTGTAACAGTTTCCTTTAAAATGTTTTTCAGAAGTTACATCTGGTGCTAATTATTCATCTCAAAATCCACACGCACAACACCTTATCGACTGTATCAGAAAACAACTTCCTAGAACTGGTTGGTTAAAAACCACTGAAACGTAAACTACACAGTTGATACACAGAGTGGACACATTTATCTAAATACTATCCGAGATCTAAAACATTAAACAATTTCCTCCAGTTGGTGTTTATATGAATAATCACAATTTTTTGGCATCAGGATTGAAAACACAAATATAAAACTGTGCATATATTGCATTTGGTATTATTGGGATAAATCCAATTTAAGAGAGTTAAAGCTCAAAAGTTAGGTGTCATATTTTTACATTATCTTTACATTGCCTTTGTTAATAGCCACAGCAATTACATTTCTTTTCCTTAAAGTGAGTGTTACTTTTGGCAGTTTCCCTTCACATCCAGTTTTCGTACCTCTATCATGTCGATGAGGTTGTAGAAGTACTGGTTGTTGTCGATGGTCAGCTTGTTGTCTTGGTAAATCACCCGGTAATGTATGACCTCCCCCGAAACGCTCACACACAGGACGTAGTCACCAGGATGGCGGATGCTCTCTCGCACCAGGAACAGGCCGTCTTCAGCCGGCTGCAGCAGGCACACCGCCTCCGGACCAGAGATTTTCCCGTGGAACCACCTGGTGACAGACAAATTACAAATTTAAAGATATGAACGCATCCTTATGAACCGATCTCAAAGGTAGGACAGACACAATAAGGTAAAGATGAATAATACACAACAGGAAAGTCATCAGGAAACAAACATTGATGTGAATTGTGAACTAAAACTGATCACATTTAAACCCTCTCAAAACTGTTGTGCTAAGAGTCCCAACCCTGCTCAGATTTTAAGAGGACAAAGCATACTATTCAGACACATGCCACACATCCGTATTTACATATGAAGAGAGCTCCATAGGCAGAAGTCAATGAAATTAGCTGCCAAACTCCCCAAAAAATGGCAATTAAGGCTGGTTAATAATGATCCTGTTGGTTTAAACAGTTCAGTCCATGTGGTGTGATCACGAGACAAAGTGTTGAAGCCAGAGACACATCCATGTCAGAGGCTTTGCATGTGATTTTAAAATGGAGTTAAGATGGCTGCCCGTGATCATTTCAGGTGAGCTGCAGAGGAGGAGGGCAGGGAAACGCACGGCATGAGGCTGAGGCTGGGATCCACCCGCAGAGCCTCCCTCTCTCGCACACTGGTGGAGCTGATGAGTCCCTCCTCTCCTGTGGAGTTGTTTATGGCTGTGTAACATCCCTTCCTCTAGAAAAGAGCAAACAGCCCTTGATAAACACTGCAAACGCATTCTTTTGCTGCTGCTGTAAAATGTCAATTGGGGCCACCGTACCAGGGCTGAATTAACGATGGTGAGAATGTCGCCTTTGCGATAGGCCAGCTCTCCAGCTTTGGCTCTCCTGCTGTCCCCCTTGGCTACACACTGAGTTCCAGCAGCCCAACTCATCTGTGGAGAGAAGAGAGAAAACGGAAAAGTCCACTAACAAGCCATCCAGCCTGTGGCCTCAGTCTGCTCACGCCAAACCTTTGCCGCCTTCTTAATTTAGGAAATTTCATGTTCTTCTATCACACAATCATGTGGAAAGCTGTACATCCTCTTTCACTTCATGTATTCATGATTTAGGAGCTAAAACAATTATTTCCCAGGCATATCTCATAATGGGTGAGTTCAATCTCAGATGAAACACATCACATGACATGGAAATTATGTCTGTGACAAACTAATTCTTTCCTATTTTTCCAATGTTGGGACTTACAGCATAATGAAAGAAATACATCTGAAAATATTAGTATTTCTCTACCTTTTCCACCAACTAAACAAAGTAAGCGTTTCTATATCTATACACTAGCATTATGCAGTCATTTGGCATTATAGGATTATAGTTATTTGTATAATTACAATATCTGACAAGAGCTGGGTAGAATGTATTCTTAAGGAAGCTCATTCATGTCCTTAAATGTCTACAGAAAGATGTCCACCATCTCCCAATTTCAGAAAAGCGGGGATGCTGTGTGAGATCTAAGTCAAAACAGAAATAATAGATTTACACCATCATAAAGTTAAAATATTAAACTGATTTCTCACACTGCATCTATCCGCTGGCGTGGCTTGTACGGTGGCCACTGTAGGCTTACCTGCAGTCCAGATCTGTCATCTACCAAAAACATGACACATTTTTAAAGAAAATGCTACATAGAAGAGCCAGCACTCTTCAGTGTGGGTCCCTTAATTCCCAGATGTTTACCGGCTGATGTTTACAGAGGGAGGGATGCTACACACAGGTGGAAACATTCCTTACAACAGCCATCAAATGAATGGCCTTCTACACATGCCCACTAAACGCTTTTGCCATGTTAATTTTCTGCCAAAAGTCTGGCAGAAAATTAACATTGAATTCAAATTCAACATGAATTGTTACGTGTGATCACATGCATCATATTGAGGTAAATTGAGGTTCATTGTCTTTCCCTAGGACACTTTGAAATGCAACCAGTAACTTTTAACCAAATTTTAGGACTCTTTTGGAAGTGAAAACAACTAATTGAAGGGTATACAGAGTTAACAAATTGTTCTTTGTTATTAATGTGCAAAACTGTCAAACTGATGAAAATACAGAAATGTACTGAAACGGGTACATGGGTTGATAATATTAAAGATGACTCCAGTCCACCTACATTACAGCACAAACCTGATCTCAGAGCAGAGAGGAGGCTTCTTTCTACCCATCATCACTGGAAAGGCTGACATTTTTTTCTTAACTATGAGGCAGATGAACAATGTGAGTCCTACCTTTCAGCCAGCTGGGCTGGACGTAGGATGAAACCCTGTCAGAGAGAAGAGTCGGAGCAACGGCACAATATCAGCGCCAACATGAAGGTCCCGGTTTTTAGAGGATTACAGGCAGGACGATAACGGGAGAAGAACAGGATGGCTGAGATCAGACAGCTTTGTGTGGCAGACGATGATGGACGCGCTGCTCAGAGTGGATGAGTCTTCCAGCCGCTGCCCTCTCAGCCCCGCTGGTCCAGCCGACAGGAGAAAGCACGGGCGGAAACATCAGAGTTCCCAACAGCAGCTCTGCCAGGAGCTAAAGTCGCCTCGATAGTCGCAGCTTCCAGCTCCAGTAAAGTCCTAGTTTCTGTTACAAATAATGCAAATGACGGAAATCGACAAAGACAGAGCCTGTGGCCTCTCTGCCAACCACTTCCTCGCTCTTAAAAAAAGACAGAGAAGTGGGTCATAGCTCAGTGAAACAACTATAAGTGACACCATGACATGAGATCATCTCCTCACCGGAATTTGCAGAGGAAATTAAACCAGAGGACAAAACGGTTTAGGTGTGTTTTAATATCTCCCCTTATTTTTAACACTACAAAGACATTCAAATGATAGGACAGCAACGTTCACACTTCCTGTTTACACAATACAAAATAGACTGCAACATCCTTCTGAAATAAAATAAGCAATACTCATATATGAGGCTCTCGATAAACAAATATCAAACTAAAAAAACGCACAGTAACTTTCTGCCGTCAGCTTTTAGGCTGGAGCTGTGCAACTGTTCACCCCCTGTCTTACAACTTCATTAAATGAGACCATTACATTACTAATCACACAAAAACAACAACTTATATGTTCCCCTCACTCAGTCTTATGCAACATGATGCAGGCACAAGGGAGAAAGAAAAAGTCTTTTTTTTCAGTAGATTTCAGTTGGATTCACCTAACTCAAGTTTCTGCCCTCAGCAAAGTGTCCTTTGGAAGAAAAAAAGATTACTAGGCATTTTTAGTCAAAAGATAACTATGGCTGCATACACTTAAGTGCTTTCCTCCCTCAGGATGTCACTGTGCAATTCAAGACTTGTGTTCTGTTAGAAGCACGACCCTTCACACACACCCACACAAACGCAAAAAAAGCTTGGGGAAGTTCCTGTATGAGGATGTCAACAATTTCAGTTTGCCTTGTTTGGGGGTTTGGTGCGGGGGCCTTTGGTTAAAGTTCTCAACTCAAGTCTTGTCTCTGTCTGTTTTTTATAACTTGTGAAAAAATAGACAACAGGAGCTTCAGAGGGAGCTAAAATCAAATGAAAAATGTCACCTGTAGGCACAATGAACATCACAGTCCTGTTTCCACCATGCCCGGGTAGTCTCCTCTGATCTCGCTTCCAATTTCAAAGCCCTCGTCTTTCCTCTTTTAACATTTTCAGCAGCATGATTAATTTAGTGAGTGTGCGGGAGTTGGATATTAACATTGACAAGGCTCAAAGAGCTGTGGATTCAGCTTCTTTTTCAATGAGAAACACTGAAAAGAAAGCTTAAGGTGCTCATTCCTCTTCCATTTGTACTGGAGGTAAAACAGTAGTAGTGAGTATTTAATCTTAAAAAATGAATGTGCTGTTGTACTGATATGGAATGATGCAATCAGTAAATAAAAGTGATTTTTTTTCAGCCGATTTACTTTAGAATAGGATACATCTGCATGAGATCACTACATGGGAGAAGGAATTGCAGTACAGACCCTCAAACGTCAGCCTCATACCTTTAGTTTTAAGGGTAGACATGTAACATGTAGAGTCAAAGTTATATTTATGTGTATAGCTGAGTGTTAAGATTGTTTCTCAATAAGAAAAGTTAAAGTAGTGACATTCTACCAGTCTCTAAACTAGCAAATGCCTCTGGTTTGGAGGCAGAGGTCAAGCGCTTGCTTCTTCTTCTTCTTCTTCTTCTTCTTCCTCCTCTTCCTCCTCCTCCTTCTTGTCCTTTTTGCCCTCCCCCTCGCCCTCGCCCGTGTCGTTGACGTCCCGCCGGCGTTTGCGGTTGCGTGCGCTGGCCTTGGACGACGGCAGCAGATCCATGCCCAGAACGTAGGGGATCTGCCGGAAAGCCAGCAGCCGCAGAGCATGCTGGGGGGACAGAGAGCACAGAGAACAATGAGGGGGCTGGGGGGCCGGACCTGCTGCTCCGGGCAGAACGGACCCCGGCGTGCACCGGCACCTGCGCACTGGCCGTCACGTCTTCCCGGGCCTGGAGCTTCATGCTTTCCAAAGCATCTGTTGGCTCTTTTTCACAGGGATCCATCAAACCTGGTCCGTCTGCACAGAGAGGAGAGAACATTGCTTGTTGAGACACAGAAAACGAGCGGCAGGAGATGGTACGCGAGGTCATCTCCTGCTTTTATGTAGGGGAGAGGTCTTCAAGGTTTTCCAGGCCAAGGACCCCCAAACAGGGACCCCCTAATTATATATATTTATATTGTGTTCTATCAAACTGGTCCTATAGTGTGTAAATGTCCCTTGTTATTGGGCATTCAGTACTAAGATCCTCAGATAATCCACAGGTTGATATCTTCCTGTTTTTACTGTAAACATCTGGTTCTGGTTCCTGGTTGGTGGGACAGGTGTTGTGAATGAAACGGGGCCCAGCTTGAAAGAGCTCCTGTGTGTGTCTGAATGTGAGCGTTGATGACTGGAAGACATCTTCCATTTATCCGTTTACTACAGTCTGTTGGACTCATGTTCATGTGGATTTAAAGACATTTACATTAGTGGAAAACATAGCAGGGGGGTGGCATAAAAAAAAGTCTAATCAACCAAAACTTTGGCGACCCCCATGAAGTACCTCCGCAGACCCCCTAGGGGTCGCGGACCACCTGTTGAAGACCTCCGATATAGGGCAAAGTTATTCTCTAGCCTCACTGAGGTCTGCTCAGTGGATAAACACTCTCAAAGTACAACCAGCCACAGAGCCTGGGAGAACCACGTCTCTTTAAACGATTCATCTGTTGATCTCCTCATTGCTTATTTCAAAAACTTCACATTTGACAAGAGTGACCTGGTAGCAGGATGCCTGTGGAGATGCACTCCAGGACCCTGCGCATGGCCTCTCCTGGGCTGAGTGGGCTGGTGGCACTGCTGATCACCTTCTCCACCAGCAGCTCCATCGCCTACAGAGACACAAGCGCTCAGTGGAGCTCATTCAATCCGTCACAGCCCCTGGGTTTGACTCATTTGAGGCCCATTTCAAACAGACGATTTTAAGGTTCGCTGAAAAAGTTCTTATTTCCAGGATTTTACAAGTTAAAGGCTATAATTTACACCACACCACACTTAAAAGTTTGTTATCATCGGAAGAGCAAAGCAATGGAAGTGAAGACACTCACCCAGCTGGGCATTTTCCCCCAGGTAGGAACGCGGTGGCATAAGTCCCGTAGGATCCGGATGATGATCACACAGGACTGCAGCCCGTTGGCACGAGCCTTCAGACATCAACAAACAGGTTACATCCAGGTAAAAGTCAAGGTTTTTTCTTTTTCTGTGACAGTGTTACACCGAGCAGCCTCTGTCTGCAGCCTGTAGGAGCTTCGGCTGGATATCCAACTCCTCCCACATCGAAGTAGGCCATTTTGGTTAGAGTCTTACAGTCTACATTGCCATAAAGCAATTACGATGATGCATGTTTATTTCAAAATTGTTCAATTTGGGGAATTATCGTAATGGCTACTGTCACGTCAACGAAGTTTAAAAGAAAGAAGGGGGGGGGGAAATCACAGAAAATAACGTGAATGCAGTTTTTTATGCTGTATTTAAAACTCTCTACGGTCAATTAATTTTAAAGACTGAAAATAAACCATCAAACTGCAAAGTTAGCCCTTCATATTTTTACTTTCACTTCGCCAAACAGCCAGCGGGTTGAGCTGATTTTATTGCCGTCGGTGAGCAGAATTGGGATCTTCCTATTGGTGACGTAATCAGAATGGCCTATGTGGGCGGAGTTGGATATCCATCCTCGCTTCCTACAGTCTGCAGCCAGATGTACACAGGGGACGTAACCCCAATGAAAGCCTCCGTCTTAAATGTTTTACCTGGAACCATTTGGCGTGACGGAGGGCTGCGAGGTACTCCAAACATTTCTTCTTATTCAGCAGGTCAGGAGGGTCCTGCTCAACCACATCTGTTAAAGATGGAACAGAGCGACATATGACACATAACACACATGCTGACTATGAAAGGACAGCAAGTGTTGGCTGTGCAGTCACTAACACTGCAGGTTCCTGTGTGCCTTCACAGCTGGCAGTGCCTTCAGCCCTTAAATAATCTCAGGGTTTTCAATTAGATTGGTGAGGAACATAAGGGAGAAGATGGAATAGGAGGACAAGCATCAAATAAGGCAGAGAAACAGAATGTTTCTGAGTGAAAACAGTAAAACAAAGCAAAAACGTGAACTCTGGAGGGATAGGTTAGAAGTACATGTAAAAAAAGAGGGTGGGAACATTACATGACATCATTTTCCGTTTAGGTTGAAAAGGTTGCTTTATTACCATCGTTTAATATCCCTTTAATTAAAGATATGATTTGGCTTTGTCTCATAAAATGACAAATCCTAGTTTAATGTCATTAAACTAAGGATTCTATTCTTCAATCATTTATTGCCTTTTTCCCAGAATGCCAAACGAAGACATTAAAAAATATCTTCTGTCACCCAGAATGCAGAGAAGCATGCAAATACCCAGTTTCCTTCTCACCCGACATGTACCCATTAGCTGTCGCCTCCAGACTGCAAGAACTGCCCAAAGACGAGCTGATAAACATGAAAAGTGGAGCAAGGCAGGGCTGCATCTAAGGTCCCCTCCTATGAAACTGATCAAGTACAAACTAAGACCTGATCAGCCCGACTCGCTTTAGGGGGTTTTCCATTACACCTGAGGTCCTAACAGAAAGACGGTTTGATGCCATTTGGATGCAACACAAGCGAAAGCTAGCAGTGAAGGACGGAAATATACCGGCTGAACCTGGTTTTGGTGGCTCAGCCCACCTGGAACCCCGGCCGAGTAGGTGCTAAAACTGGGAAACTGTTAGTAGGTAACCAGCCCACCAAATGTAGAAATGGAGAGGGGGAAAAAAGTGAAGTGGTAATGAGCCCGATCCAGAGATCTTAACAGGTAACTAAATAGACCTCTAACACCTCCTGCCAATTACCTAGAACATCAAGTGTGCGTTTTTTGTTGTGGCTCATCTGTGAACCTTTGTTCAATTTGTAAAGATAAATCAAATACTTCTGGTGCTCTTTTATAGCAAAGCTCATGTCAAGATGATCAAAGTCAAATACGGCTTTTTGAGTTTTGTGCATTTCCTTTTCATTTTCAATTTGTTCAAGAAAGATGTATCCAATGTTAAAACTTGAAGACTTCTTTACACACCATCCTTCTTTGGAAATACACGATCAGCTACGAGTTGGAAATAATTAATTCGATATCTTAAAACTGGATATGTAACCAGGTTTTAAAGAATATCTCCAAATCAGGAAGAGGATCCCTTGTTCCTCTGGGGTCTGTGTCTTAGCACACTAATCTAAATAACTCAATACAGGTTGAGTAAGATCTGGTTAACAGTGTAACTGTGTCTAAAATGACCTAAGTTAGAAAATTAAAAGCAAATAACTGAAGAGGAACTATTCATAAAGAGCCTTGGGGTTTACCTACACTTGATGTTCAAGAGAACTGCAGCAAAAAAATGTTTACATTTTTTCTTCCTTTTTTTTTTTTTTTAACAGGGGAAATTACATCACACAAATTCAGTGTTTTGAGCTCTTCGTGGCTTAACTGGGTCTGTTGATACAGAATGAGGCACTGATCAACAAACCCAAATCATAACTTCTGGGGGGAAAAAAATAAAATAAATTAAATTAAAAAATAATTAGGTACAAACTACAATCACAGAAAACATTTCTGCCATGTTTTCAAGATGAAAAAAAACAACAACAAAGCATCCAAATGTGGACATTTACTGAGGCAGGTGGAGGAGTGTTAGCAGCACAATGATACTGTAAAGTTATTCTTATTGCTGAATAGAGTAAGAAAATGACTGTGGCGTCATTCGTTTCATTCAGAAATGATGCGTGTGAATAGTGTGTTTGTCACCGTCAGGATAAAAACAACACTCCACCACCCTGTCATTGATAATGCCAGATAAAAATGCAGGGATGACATAAAAGAGAATGGAAGTTGATGGACCTCAAAATCTCCTCATCGGTATCACTGCAAATAGGCAACAAGAGGTAAAAAAAAACCCCAAAAAACAACAAACTCTGAATCTCTAAAGGAGGTTATCTGTAAAAGCAACGTTGTGATTTGAAGCATTTTCATCTCTGGGCATTATCTGAACAGTGAGCAGCTATGATCCCAGCTTCCAAAAGGCTTCATGTGAGCGTGCGTTCGTCAGATAAACACACACCCCAGTGGCACAGAAAGGTCGGAGAGCCCGGCTTTTGATTCCCATTGTTTTAAAGAGAAAATAAAGGAATAGGGAATTCTTTTTTTCTTTTTTGCTGAAAAAAAATGGGAAAATAAAAGAGTGGGACAAATGAATGTGATTTCATTCTTACACGTTAAAGGAAAGAAATGCAGAATGTGGGCTAAATTATAGTCCCACCAGGAGTTTTTTTCCTTTTAATTCTCCTTCCTTAAATTAATTGTGGTGCTAACAGGTGAGCGGGTGGAGTCAGGGGTATAAATATAGATAGAAGCGTACTGCACACAGCACTAACATTTGGTCTCTGGTACTGAAAGCTTTGGCTTCTCTAACCTTTCTCAGCCGCTTTTCCTCCTGCCTGCTTGTCCTTCTCAGCAGCAGGGTCCTCCCTCATCAGCGGCGAGGTGAGAGAAATGGTCACCTGCATTTTGGGCTCCTTGCTTGAAAATATCACGATGTTGGCCTCCTCGGGGTGAGCCTGCACCTCATACTGATCTTCAGAAAATGTCTGCCGGTTAAAAGGACACTTGGGATTACTCACTACAGAGGAGGAGGGGGGCGGGGGGACAAGAAACAACCTTGTTTGGTGACATTCTGCCTTAAATCTGGTTTGATTGGGCTTTAATTACCTTATAAAATAAGGTCAGAAACACTGAGAGGAAATCTTAACGATTGGTCATGAATCATGCCTTAGTAGTTTTAAAATTTAGAAGATGAAAAGGGTAACTAATGAAGAAAGGTCCCATCTCACTCTGTAGGATTCAGGTGTCATAACCAGGCAGTAAGTCTAAAGATCAGTGAAAACACCTTCAATAAAACAGTCATTCAGCTACAGCCGGTGGGATACAGGGTGTTTTATAACTCCACATCACCACCCTGTATCCCACGCCGTGGCACAGAGTACAGTAAAGCTTAAAGAAACAGTGGGTTTCTCCTCTGGCGTCTGGTGACAGTTTCATCATTAGTGAACATGTAAAAATCTCTTCCACACAGTTCTCTCAAGAGCTCAAGGATGTAAGGCCAAACTGGGTCTTTTTAAAACAGTCTAAGGAAACTTTGATGAAGGGAGATTTTAAATTCAACTGGTTGTTCACAGTGAAGTCATCTCAGATATTGTTACTGGCAATCAGGATACAGATATTTACTGATTTACAATCCTCAGGCCCCACATTGGAAACATCAGTGTTTGATTAGATTATCATATTCTGTCCTTGGAGCCGCTGCTCATTCTGAGTAGAGCTCCAACCCATTCAGAATTTCCTTCGTTCCTTCTGTAAGTGCTTGAAGTAGAGGCCATGACACAGGCCAAAACGGGTTCAAGAAAGCTGGAAAGACTGAAGTTATTGAGATTGAAGGTCATTAAAAAACCTCCTTCTTCTTACTTATTGCCAAATAAACACAGTTGAGGTGTGTTTTTTCCAATGGGGAAAGTTTGTCCTTGTCATTGTTAGTCAGAATAAGTACTCCACTGCATAAAGTAGAACTATATTATTTTGATGGAGAGACAACATTTTGAATTATTTCTTACGTGATACATTTAAAATGGCTTCATTTATTTGTGTTTGTGGGGAGGACAACATAATCTCTTGTCTGACTGCGAGGGGACAGCTGTACATGTTCACTAATAATAAATGAACTGCTCTAGTGTAAGAAAAAAAACAGATTAGGATGTGCTTTTTGTGTAATGTAATATTTCTACATAAGTATCATGGTTATGAAAATAAGATTTTGTCTTCTACAAGAAAAGCATAAAGGGTGGAAACCTGTGGTTTCCATTCTTTTTGCTGTACAACAAATCACTTATCTATTTGTACCTTTACACTTGGTAAGATGACATTTAGACATTTAAACCTTCAGTTAAAATCAGAAAACTTCCTTTAGACAATCTGATGCGAGATGCTGATGTTGTGAATTCCCATTTGTCTAGTAAAAAAGGCTTCCCTCGCTCTTCTTCACACACCACACACAGTCAAGACATTTCCCTCTCTGAAACTCGTCTCACCTCCAGTTCTTTGGGTAACTGTGTGGCGATGGTGGTTAATAAAGTGACGCTGGGTTTTTGAGCGGTCAGCAGGATAAGTTCCACGTTTCTGTCTCCGCGCAGCAGCAGGCCTTTGGCCAGGATGCCGACCCTCATCACTCCTTTGAGCAGCCGAGGAGCGTTCTCAGCACTGTGGAGGATGAGAAAACATCAGGAAACATCTAAACTATATGGAAAAATCCGCATATAAAAACTAGACTGTAATCCAGCATCATGTTTTGACCCGATATGTTTGTTAAAAATGTCTGTGCCCACCTTTTTTCCTCCTCTCCCTCTGTAGCAGCGTCAGTGGTACTAGGACTGACAGCGACCGCCTCGGTCTCCAGCAGGGAGTCTGACACTAGTTTTAGAGCTCTCTCAGAGTGGGACACGATCCTCTGAACAGCCTGGAGCTCCTCTTCCACCGGGTAAATAGTAGAGTGCTTGGCCATGATGTAACGGTCATCAGGAGTCTCAGGCCTTCGAACACACGGCTGTACGTGGGGCAGAGGAAATGAAAGAACCGGTCAGTTCTCAGGGAAAGTTTTGTTTATTGAATAATGAACATGGAACTAAAGAAGAAGGGGGGGAAAGCCATTTTAAAGCTCACCAGTAGGGGGGGCACTGGCATACCAGGGCGACTCATCAGAGGAGGGGGCGCCATCCGGCGTCTCTGGTCCCCCCAGTACATCTGCTCCTCCTCCATCCTCCGCCAGTACATGTCCTCCTCATATCGCCTGAGGAACAGAGTAAACATGTTCAGTTTATTCATTAAAAGCCATTTATCTAACAGGGGGATTCTATTGCACCCATAGAGTCATTCAATAAAGATTCTTTCCCCGTTTTCCCTCTTTTTTGGTTCATTCTGTGCCGACAAAGGGAAGCTTCACACCTGACATTAAGGTGGGAACAAGTGAGGGAGTGTGAGTTTTAAGGCTGACCTCATCTCCATGTGCCAGCGCTGCTCGTCGTCTCTCTGCCTCTTCAGCACCGCCTTCTGCTTCTGCTTCTTTAGCTTGCTCTCCTGCAGCTTCCTGGCCCGGTTACTGGGCTTAATCTCCACGGGAAGCTCTGGATTAACTTTCTTCTGTTAGGGGCAGAGCATAGAACATTTAAGGAAAATATGACAGAAGTATAAGTCTGTGAACATCATGAGTGGTACGCGTGTCTAATCCCTCAATATCAAAGCAATAAAAAACTTTTTTCGTTCCATTTTGAGCTGCCATATAAACTTTTTAGTCCAGCTTCCTCCCACATTCCAAAAACATGCATGTCACGTTAGTGACTCGGTCCGAGGACGAGAAGTGGACAGGGGCTTTTTATTTCATTCACTACAGATTGTAAAATGATGTGGAAACAAAGCTGAACCGTGCACAGAAGTTAGTGTGAGGCCAAACATGTTAATGAAGGCTGGAGCAGGCTAACCTTGTACTGCAGTCTGTGCCTTCTGCCCTTCAGGTGCATGTCTTTAGCGTTGGGGTCATTGAAGCTGCACTCGCACAGTTTACAATGGAACCGGATCACTTTTCCATCATCGTTCCGTACCTGAAAAGGATCAAACACCAAATAAATACACACCAGTGCAGGTGGACAAAACTTGAAGGAAACTAACAGTATTACCGTACTTTCTGCACTATATGGCGTACCTTTAATGAACGGCCTATGTCAGAATTGTTTGTATATATAAGGGCACCGCATTATAAGGCGCATAGAATAGAGGTTACAGTTACAGTAGAGGCTGGGGCTGTGTTAGCATCAACCAGATGCAGCTAAACTAAAGAGAACGTCAACAAAACAGTCAGACAAGTCAGTCAAACTTTATTAACAGAACACAAACAAGCGTTCTGACAACTCCATTCACTCCCAAAAGGAATAAACAGCCGTTTTATTATTTTTCCCAAGCTAACCTCAGTGATGTGGTGTTTCCTTTTAACAACAACAATGTATAATAGGTAGTGCAGAATTTTTATCAAGTAGTGGAGGAGAACTTTTCCTCCATTCAGAACAGATATAAGAAACAGTCTGATACCTTACGGTGAATCAATCGTTAGTGCAATCACAATATATAGCAGCTAGCATAAAGCTGACAAGCTTTTCTCGTAAAAAACAAAAACAAAGAAAACACCGGTATAGAAAAATATTTCAACTACCTGTTGTCGTAGTTAAGATCAGATTCAACGTTTACCTTAAATGTACAACAACATTTTTTAACAGCCGCCTTCTCTCACTGCCTCAACTTTTAAAATGGGTACTAATAGATATGTACATTGTGCAGTACTGCAGAGTCTCCAGAAGGTGGCGCCTCTTCGACCCTGCACTACTTCTTCTACTGCTTCTTCTTCTATGGGAGAAATAGAGTTGGGCTGCTTTGCGTAATTGCGGGACTCAATCCTGATCAATATATAAGGCGCACTGTCGGTTTTTGAGAAAATTAAAAGCTTTTAGGTGCCTTATAGTGCGGAAAATACAGTAATTGGGAACTCTAAGGCATCTGTTCCATTGGTGTATATGGCAGCCAGACACAGGATGCAGCAGAAACCTCCTACCTCTTCTACATAATCATGTCCTACGGGCTGGATGTCCCCTTGACCTGCAGCTCTATCACCTCTTTCCTCATCACTCTGTGGCTCCATCTTCTGGACAACGGGCTGAACAGGCTCCTCCACTTTAGCCGTTACCGGGGCGACCTCCTTTGCTGCTGCTGGAGGAGGAGCACTGCTTAGCCTGTTAGCTGTAAAGGAGGCCAGACGTTTTCATGAATTTATATTAGGGAATCATACTGGCTTCTCATAAATAAAAATAAAAAAAAGAGAATTTAAAGTTGAATTGAACTTTTTTCTGCTAGGAAGGTTCAGAATATAAACCTTTACATCAGATGTCACTTAAGAATTTAAATCTAAAAAATATGTGTGTAATTCTAACACTGTGGACATGGTAGCAGTTAATTATACACATTGTTTTGTTCATTATATTAGATTTGCTTTGATGGTACTAACAACTGGACTACAAGTCTTGTTCGGTTTGAGGGGACCCTTTGCTAATGGGGGCTTTCCCTCAGCTCCTACTCTGCTGTACACAGATCCACTAAGTTTTGGAGATTTCACATTACAAATGTTAAAACCCCGCTACACCACGGTGTTGGACCAGGTTTGTGGCCATTTACAAGCCATTTACAATGTTGAGTCGGAGGTTTATTGTTGTCTTGTTGATTCCAACAGCTAACTCTTGCAACCCCAGTGGAGTAAATGCTAAATTTTTAACATTTAGGAGGCTAAATGGAAATGCAAAAGGATCCTAATAAAAACGAGTAGTCAATCTGAACAGAGCAAAAATTTGTATCAAAGAGGCTATAAGAAAAGCAGCTGAAATGATGTGAATTCAAAAAAGGAACAGTGCTCCATTGCCTCCTTTACTATTATGATTCTAACAACTGGAAGGTAGTTAGCTTAAATTACAACTAGTAAAACAAGCAGAAAATTCCATCTATTGTAAAAGATAAATGTAATAGGGCCATGCATCATCCACGTTGCTTTTCTAATGAGTGTCTCTGGTTTCAAACCGTATTTCAGTTCTATATTTCTGTTCCTGTTCATACTTGATTACACGGTGCGTAAAGCCAGCAAATCTTTCATTTAACTAAATAGTCTGAAAACCTATAGGAGACAGTTAAAGGAGACCCTGTATGTAGGTTTATTAGTTAAGAATTAATCAAATTATCATCTGCCTGGATCAATAAAATGACTAAATTAAAGTGTTAGATTGGGGGGGCTTTTCTGAACATCTACAAAAACAAAGTGTTAGACTTACAAATGGCAGTTATTTTGGAGGGAGCTGGTTTCTTGACTGCAGGGGTGGATTTGGTTGTGGTGTTTACTGCTGTCTGTTTGGGCATCACAACGGGAGCTGAAGTGGTGGAAACTGTGGCGGATGACGAGGAGGAGACCGGGGCTTTTCCAGCTGTTACAGTGGTGACCACGGGAGCAGAATTCACCAACACCGGCTCCGTGGAGGGGATCGGTTTTCCAAGCTTGGTGTGAAGTTTCACCACCTTTCCGAAGTTGGCAAAAGGAGAGAGATGCAACCATTTAGAGCTGCTGAAACTTAATCCCCCCCAGATCCCTCAGGGACCTTTTGTTCCCCGACTTGGCAGCTTGGATGGAACATTGCATGACTACATCACAGTCTCTTCCAGAAATCGAGACATTCCAACTGTCTTTACCTTTTCAGATGGACACTGAAAGAGGAAAAAAGCTTTACTGACCTTCAGGTGTTTGGCGCCTCGGATATGTGCAGCGTAGGCGTCCACTCCAGTGCATGATACGTCACACAGCTCGCAGCGCAGCTGAGTCTGGACGCCTCTGGGCCCATTGCTGTTCCCCGTCTGCCCCCCGGCTTTTAAGGCAGCTTCTTTTTTCTTATGCTTTTGGCCCTCGTTGTGCTCCCGGTACGTCTAATGCAGAATACCAACCCAGTCAGCAAGATGAGGTCACCAAAAATAGCCATAGCTGCCAAGCAGGCCTGGGCGGTATCCAGATTTCTTTTGTTCATCATTATATGTGCTTCTATTATCTCAAATGAGGTATGAAATCAGATAAAACCGTTTATACTGATACAATCTGATACAATCTGCCCCCTGTGCAGCTTACAGTGTTGTTTAAAAAAAAACACTTTAAACCTTAGTATTCAAACTAGGCTGGTCCCGATCTGATATCTGGATCCGATCGGCCGCCGATATTTGCAAAAATATGCGTATCGGCCGGCAGGAGAAATTGCAGATCCAGACTCCAGATCCTTTTTTTTTTTTTTAAGCGCATCGATTAAAATAATCCATTACTGATGCTGAGTTAATAAACTATTTTTCTATTCAGGTTGTTTGTGTGTTTTGCCTTTTTAATAGAGTTTACAATATTATTTGAACTTTTTACTGTTCACTGATGCCATTCCCATTTGTTTACTTATAATTTGGTCTATTTTGTGTTTCTCCCTGAATAAACAGGTCAGTGCCTCTTTACCAACCAGTGTGTGTTATTCAGACTCCCCTAATTCAGCTGGCTAGTTGTTATCAGAGTAAATCCCTGTTCAACATGAGTCTGACAACTAAGTAAGTAGATAAATAACTTTAGACTTTAACACATGCTCTGATAGGCCGGGATCGGATGTGCAGAAAGCTGGATCGGGACATCCCTAATTCAAATATATGCGACTCAATTTTGTGATTTGATGCTTTGAGATACGCAAACTATTTGAGCAAGTAAAAATTCATTTGAGTTCATCTAAAGGTTCACCCTTGACCTGTGGAGGCGGTCCCACTGGTCTCTTACCTGAGGGCCTGCGCAGCTGATTTTACAGATCTCACAGTAATGAAGCTGGGGCTGCTTAGGGGGCCCTTTGGGCCTCTGCAGCTTGTTCTGGTGAAAAGCAGGTTTTTTATAGGTGTTTACAGTCGGAGCCGTGACCATGTTGCTGCCGGAATTACTCCACGATGAGCTGGTCAGCTGTTTGGGAGGAGGCTGGATGGGGGACTGGGACTGCTGGGTCTGCTGGGGCGGGGGCTGGGGCTGGGACAGAGTCTGCTGGGCCGGCTGGTAGTAGGAGGGGGTGGAGGCTGAGGTGTAGCCAATTGAGTCGTAATTGGAGTAGCTAATGCCTGAGGGTTAGAGAGCATGAAGAGAAGACTGAAGACAGAGTTTCTCAAGAAAAAAAAAAAGCAAAAGCAGGAAATGGGTCAGATATGAACTGTCAGCAGCAATAGAAGCAATAAGCAGCAGTTTAATTTCCCCACACACTGCGTAGAGCCCAGCATGCACCGGCTTTGACAAAGATGGAGTGGACAAACTACCTCCACCCTGTAACCTAAACAGTATCACTGTCTGTATATCTGACCCGACCTCAAAAGGAGAGCACCAAATCAATACAATACTTTGAGCTACTGCTCAAAGCTACTTTTTAAACATAGATTCATCTTTCTACTTCAGTCCTTTTGAAGTAACCCATGCAACCCTTCCCTTGCCCACTTCTTTTCTGTCGTCTTAGCTCACCAGAGTAGGAGGAGGCTGAAACAGTGGAGTTAAAAGAAGAACCAAGGGTGTAGGATGAAATAGGTGTCGGAGGCTGCTGGACACTGGTGGACACTGGATAGATGTTGTAACTGGTGGACACGGGGCTGGCAGGGACCAGAGGCTTGAGGGCAGTCACCTGCCTCTGGGGCAGAGCGGGCTGGCTGTACACAGTGGAGGGTGCTGGACTGTAAGCGCTCTTCACTCCTACTGATGGAGAGAGGAACGAGGGCGTAAAGATGGAGGGGAGAGACATGGAACAAAGGGCAAGTTTGAAAGACAATACACAAGAGACCCTTCCGGCTGGAACGGCCTGGAGTGGGCTCTTTGGCTTGGCGGTCTGAATGCTCATTTTCAGAACAAATGGGCACCAGACACAGAAATTTGGGTTTGAATACATTTCATAATATCCTAAAAGAGGCATATTAGGCCCGATATAAAATGGAAGGTCAACAAACAAACAAAAATATAATAGTAGCAAGCTTCCCTGGCACCTCTCACCAGAACAAGAAGTCCTTCAACAGACAATATCTGTCTAGAATTACAAGAAAAAGTAGCTGTGACTTCCTCATATACAACTCATCTGCCATGTAAAGTGATAGCCAGCTATTTCAGCTGAATGGTCAGTTACAGCTTGCATAGTTTCCTAAATTGTAAACCGTGTCCATCACAAGAATCTCAAGTTTTTTTCTCCTTGACACGTAGAACATATCCTATCCACAATGCAAATCTCTGGATCCATATAACTGGTTTTCTAGTGCGTTTGAAAGGCTGCATACAGACTGATGAACTTCATGAATTGAAAAACAAACCGGATTTGTACGTCTTTGGTTGGGCATACAGGACTTAGCTGACCACAGCACTAAATCCATTTGACTTCATTCAGCCACAAACGGCACATTTGAAAATGTTTTTGAGCTGAAATACAACATGTGTCTACTTTGTGTCTTTAGCAAACCAAAAACCAAATCATCTGCAGAGCATTTTCAGTCAGCAATAAGGAGATCACAATCAAAGATGGTATCAGATCAAATGAAAGTCTCCTTCTATTTCACACACTAGCTCAAAGGGCTTGATATAATTTAACTAAAAGATTTACAGGGAATAAAAATCTAAATTCATTAAGAAAAAATGAATTGGGATTCTGTTATATTTTAAATCACATGAAAAGAAAACTCTTCTTGATGAAAACACCATAAATCGTCTTCTGCTGGAAGTAAAGAATACGAGGGGTTAGAGACTCACCAGTCTGGTAATAGTTCTCTGTGGGTGTCCTCTGAGCTGAGGCTATGCTCGTCTGGTAATACTGTTTGTTGTCGTAGGTCGTTACGGCAGCAGGTCGTCCATAACTATAGTTGTCCTGCTGCTGTTCACAGAGGAGAATCCAAGGTTTATCTCAGTGGATTACTGCGCAACATTCTGAATATCAACAGACATATCTGGGCAAGAAAATAAACTTTGAATTGATAACAAAAGCAAGATGAAGCATAAGTTATTTCTGAAGGAACACTGTGTGTTTTTACATGTATCAAAAAGAAAGCTGTTGAATAAAGTCCAACATGCAACATGAAAGGCAGAAATCATAAAGGAAGCAAAAGGCAACTGACCATGTCTGAGTATACCTGGTACGTCTGTGGGGTTGTGGTGGGCTGGGGGGGGTCTGGCTGTCTGTAGGTGTAGTCTTGGGGGGCCGGGTGGCTCTGATAGGTGGGGTAGGGGGCTGAGGCCACAGGCCGGGCCGCCTGGACCGGGGCTGGGGAGTAGGAGGCAGTCACGGCATGAGCCACAACGGGAGCCTGCTGCACGTTGTAGCTGGCAGTGGAGGGATGGGAGTAGACGGGAGGAGGCTGGGTACTGGGAGAAGATATAGAGAGGGAAACTTTGTATTATTTAAAAAGATAACAGCAAATTTAAGAAAAATGACTTGGTTTACTTTTATCCAAGACTGAACAATTACATTGTTAAATGTATCCAAGTAAGTAACAGTAGATCAGGCCATCAAAACAATGTTGAAAACCATAAAGCCATGCAGTATATAGTAGGGATATCCCGATCCACCTTTTGCACTTCCAACCCTTTACAGTTCCCGGCCTATCAGAGCCTGTACTAAAGTTTAAAGTTCTTATCTACTTACTGAGTTGTCAGACTCATGTTGAACAGGGATTTACTCTGATAACAACTTAATGGTTAGGACTCAGACCTGTGGGTTAGGAGATGCTAATGCTAATGCTTGTGTGTGATCGGACTTTAAAATAAACTGGATCTGGAGTCTGGATCTGCATTTTTTCCTGCTGGCCGATACGCATTTTTTTTGCAAATATCAGCGACCGATCCGATCCAAATATCGAATCGAGACCAGCCTAGTTTATACTCAATATGCATTCATTTTCACATTTGGAGCACTTGTATAGGCCGCTGACCATAACTTTATCCAGATATTGCATTGAACACTCATTTCTGCCTTGCAGCATCCCTCCTGAATGACCTAATATCTTACTCAACCTAAATTGATGGTGACAAACGTGATAAAGACCTCTTATCTTTGCACCAAATAGAAGGGAGAGCTAAAAGTACAGACAGACGGCAGCAGCAAATGGCATCAATAACTAATGCTATCAGCATCTCTAGAAAGCTTTCAGAGTCAGGGAGGACAGGAACACCACAGGGCTGAAATGAAACGACGCCCTCGGGTCATATAAACACACATGCTGGGAGAGTAATCCCAACACTCATTCATCTTTTAAAAATACATTAGTACAGAAAATACGAAATAAGGCCAAACAGGAAACTTGTGTTCTACAGTCAAAGGGGCTTCGGGATTCTCATTTTGCAAAGACTCCCGTCATTGGGCTCTTGTCTTCCAGGTTTCTGAACAGTATGATCAGAAATATAAACAGGATAATAAATCAATAGTGGAGACTGGATCCTCCTCCGCTGACCTTAATGTCAGCTCTGCAGCTACTAAGTGCAACTGGACCCAGTGTTAAGCCCATAGCTGATTTATGAGACCTGGAGGAAGTCTTGATAATGCCTCAATGTTTATTAATGACTCAGAGTTGGGGAATCCAGATATGGCCCAGAGGTAGGCTGTAGGAAATGTTCTGAATGTCATTCCCTCGTCACTTCTCTCACCAGCTCTCCAACAAACTTCATGTTTGCTTTTAAATGTTATCTTTCTTTCCTCTCTAGCCTCATTATAAACTGGCATCAGTTTTAAATGGCAGAATTACTCTTCGGTCTTAACACACAGTATCACATCGCATTTGCCGGCATTTAGGCTTTATGACAAGCAATTTGCTGCAAGGCAAAGATGGGGTTTGGAGTTTGTTTGGGCCTTCTCAAGGTGTACATCCATTGTCTATTAATGGTAGGAAAAGCAACATTTTCTGATCCTAGAACGTGGCTAAAGTTTCCCTGCAAAGCGCCACTGAACCATCACACCTGTGTCCTGGACATCCTTGCTTTAAAGAAGCAGAACCGGGTCGAGCTATGGCTTGTAAGCGTGATCATTCCACTATTTTTTGTCTGTAAAGATTTGAAATTAACACCATAACAATCCTGAATTTCCAGTTACAGGATGCAACTTCAGTTTCGACATGTCTTAAGCTAGTAAATCTGAACTCTTTCCTGCAAAGGAAAAAAGCGAGTTGACCTTGTTTAGAACTATTGAGCTCATTATAACTTGGCTAGACACTGTAAAGGTCTGAGAAAGTAATAAGGATGCTGCTGTAGGGCATGTTTAATGCAAACCACTGGTAAACACACTGTCCTCTCACACACACTGTTTATAGTCATCCAATTAATCTCCCTTGGTTTGTGGATGTGCATTATAAGACACAGGTGGATTGGAATTTAGCATTCACATTAATATCTGTTGATATTCCATTGACATCTGGAGCTTTATCAACTTTGAGTGAATGCATCTGACTGATGGAGGAAGTATTATAATGACAGCACTGCGGTGCAGATATATAATCCTGCTTGCCAGGTATGTGGTCTTGAATAGAAGCCAGAACAATAGATAACACAGGAAGCTGGTGCTCCGCTAACCGCAGCATAATTACACTCTATACTAGTTTATTGGTGGTTTATCAGGAATAAAAGGATGGATGATTTAGGGAAATTTGGCACCACAGTCGTTGCAATGCTTGCATGTCCAGAAGCAGCTATCTACACCCCCCCCCCTGAAGAAAATAAATGCTCTGTTGTGAGACTTTAGTAATGTTAGACCAGGGTTAGCCTTCTCTAATCCTAAACGTTGACCAAAATCTCACCCATCGCATCCAACTCTATTCACTCCACAAGCCGCATTAAGCCGCCTGAGACTAACTTTCCTTTTGACGCTACATTATAACATAAAGCAAAGAGTTGAACCATCGACTGCCGTTTCTCCACCAAAAACTGCTCATACTGGGACTTGACCTAATGTCAAACGGCATATCGGTAAGCACTGGCCTAGGAACTCGGTTAGCTAGCGCTAGCTAACCGTTACCGAAGCAGTGGGTCAAGCTAACAGTGCTAAGCCCCGAAACCTCTAGCCCGGCCGTGTCTCTGTCGATATGCACCAGAAAACCATAGCTGTGGCTCAACACACACGCTGACAACAACAAACATCATTCAAATTACCTGTATTGCGCACCGGCACCATGTGTAAAGCCGAAATAGTTGCTTGCAGCCATCTTGGCATCTCCAGTACAGTACTGGCGAACAGCCGTTAAACTCGGGACAGGATAGTTCCCCCCCTGTCTTTATCCTAAACGTAACGCTTCTCCCCTGCCACCATGGGATCGTCGGACAAATATACCTATGAGTAAGTCTGACATATGCCTGGTAAATATGTATTTGTATAGAATAAAAATTAGATTAAGTTGAATCTTAAAATGTAATCTGAATACAAATATATTCAGAGACGTTTTTGCGTCGTACTTTGTTATAAATGACGACGGAAGTTACCTACAGGGAACCATCTTGATTTGACCGTGTTCTTCGGTCCTGTCTGCTGAGAAGCTGGACGTCATAATTTGGAATTTCAGTGAGGGAAATTATCTTCAAAATCTCTCTGATGGGATTTTTTTAGGGAAATTAGATGGGAAATTAATATTACTAAACTCCTACTACTACTTAATAATAATAATGATACTACTATAATAATCAGGAGAAGAATAGTGTTACTAGTATTAGTACTAGACCAGTATACACTTTTCAAGGGATTTCTATAACAGTATTTGCAACTAGCTGCACAATGTGAAGAAACTACAGAGGTGATACGATTGGCCGAGTACGAGTGATGTAAGGGTCTGCATTATTAATGTTGTGTGTAGAAGGTATGAAAGCGAGTGGGGCAAGAAGACAGAGGGAGGGGAAATGCAATGGATGGGGAGAGATGCTGTTGCTAGGGAATAGCAGCCAGAGAAACACCCTCTGAAAACAACAGTGGGATTATCCAGTGAGGTAAAAGGAGGCAGAATTAAGTGCCCTAGGGATAAATAAGCCTTTTCCGTGGATTTTGAATGCAGATAAAAGCTTTTTCGTTATGATTGCAGAGGTGGGAAAAGATACTCCAAAAGTATATGGATGCAAATGAAGAGAGAGAAATGGAATGCAGAGAGAAAAATCAAGATGCCAGAGCCGCTGCATTTCTATTAGATCAATTTCGTGTTGGGTTGAGTGAACGTAGGGGCTGAGAGGAAAGCTGTCGGTTCACTCCTCAGAGCCAGTCTTTCTGCAACAAAGGTACCCAGGGGTGGAGAAGAGGAGGGTGTCCAGAACAGAGATTTGCCCTGTCCTCAGACACCTGCTGCTGGCTAGCTGATGACACTGAGGGCACTGTATGAGCGCGTCTGTGCATGAGTGTGTGTGCATGTGAATTAATGAAAGACAGGGGAGGAATTTCAGGCTGTCCCGTGGATCTCTGCCGATGTGGGAGATTTGGATCCCTGTCCCCCAAATCTTTGCATCTGTGACTGGAGAGGAGGAAGGCACTCAGGCAGAGAGCAGAGGGAGAGGTTCTGAGGGGATCTCGCACCGTTTACGTGAGTATAGCAGCTGGCTTCTGTCCTTGCAGTCACACGGTGCTCACTACGCTGCTCAGACCATCAGCCTCAGAAAGCTTGTGAATTGGATCGTCCGTTAGATCCTTTTTTTCTACTGAACTTTGCATGTGAGGTGACCTAGAAAGGCAGTGGAGCCATTTTTACTGTGATGGTGATGCACAGCACATTAGGTGGCACCAAATCTTTGACAGCTATATCGGTTTCAGTATCCATATTTAAAGCAAAAAGCAACCTGCTGCAAATGTCCAAAGAATAATGGACATGTGTGCAGTAAATGTGTTATGCTACTTATCATATTAAAACATTGTGTTAAGATGAAGGTTAGTTTGTCCTTACAGCTTTTGTAGAAATCCTACATAGTGATTTTTTTTTTTTTTTTTTGACGTATTCATTTAGCTTTTTTAGCACTTTAGTTGACTTAATTTCATGGTCAAATCTATTAATGTTGCTTTATTTCTCATGTGTCATATAGGATCAGTTTGATTTAAGTATTTCTTCTGAGTGATAGCTGGATTGTATCCAGCCACAAGTGTAGCTGCCAAAAAACTGCCAAACCCACTCCACTCCTGGTAATTATACCACAAGAGCCCATATTCCATTATGTTTGGTTTAATGGAATGCTCCGTTGCCCTAATAATAGGCAGTTCATGCCACTTTCCTATTGTAATGCTTAAAACCACAGACCTTGGTTTGTTTTGGCACAAAGTGAAATCTTTTCAGACATTGTGGATTTCATACTTGACTGGAGAGCTACAAAGAAAGCAGGTCTTTTCTAACTCATGAAACATCCTGAGTGCTATTCAGTGAAGCAGACTTGTGTTGCTGTTGAATTCACCTTGAAGGGAAATAAAGACCCTATTACTACAATCGTTCAATCATTCATTATGCAAACAGTTTTAAGTCTCTTTTTTATCCAAAACATTCACCAGAGAATGGCTTCTCTTCAAGCCTTTGAGCTCAGATGAATGGATTTTATTTTCTGTTCCATCTTTTCTGCTGGACAGAAAGCCTCAGTGTAAATGGATATCAAAAGGCAGCAGTGTGGAAGGATTAAGGAGCTGATTAAGGGAGTGATTAGGCCAGAATATCATGCTCTACTCCAGCCTCTTGAATTCCACCCAGGAGGAAATTCTGTTGTAGCGTTTGACTTTGAGGGGAGCTAAGCCCAGAGAAAGGGCTCTGTCCTACTCAGCCACATGCCTCTCACATGTGCTTCTGTGGGCTGGGGGATGAAAACCACGTGATCTACGGTGGTTTGAGCCCCTAATTGTGATTAAACATGATTCAGTTTAAACTCGAGCACAGTGCTGACTTTACTTTCATTGATGAGAAACTCCGTGGAACACTGCTTGTGTGATTCTCTGAAATGGGACACCGGTTTTTAAATGTTGTGAACTCAACAGCATTTGTCTTCCCTCCTTCAGCCCCCTGCTCTCCTCTCTGAGGAATGGGCACAACAGAGGCAACTCTACGAATGGAGAACATGGAAGTAAAAGATGAGTGGCAGGATGAAGACTTTCCCAGGTTGGAT